TTAACTAATATAATCTTTATTTAAAAACAAAGCTAATAAGAAATAAAAGTTGAAGAAAATATAATCAGTTAGGTTAGAAAAAAAACTTGCTTTAACATAAAGCTTATAACCATATAAAAAAAGTACAAACTACGTAAAACGATGTATTTATCTACTTTTAAATGCTATCTTTATATTAGTCTAACAGAAGAATAACGATCTATTATTAAAAAAATCACTAAAATAATTTAGCGATTTTTTTAACTAACAGGTAGCGCTTTTCTTATAACATCTCAAGTATAGTCTATCTTTAGCATACTGTAATAGAAAACCTAGTTTTTTTTCGCTAGTTGCGTTAATGAAAAAATACATCCGTCCGACGCATTACGTAGACTGTGCATGTTTTTTAATTAAAATGTTGCCTATTTATCTCTATGCTTAGAAATTTCCACCTTAACTTAATAGTTTAAAAAATATATGAAAATAAAAGTATGCTATTTTATGTTTATTTTCAGGGTTATTTTAAATTTTCACAATTATTATTATTATTTTTTTTTTTGCTTAGATGCTACTCGAGCATTGGACGTAGTTTTTGGCGACCTGGTCATCAAATTATTAGTTTAGGAAACCGATGTCTCATGAAAGGCACAATAATGCATGAAATTATGCATTCCTTAGGATTTTGGCATGAACAATCGAGACCTGATCGAGATAAACATGTTGAAATATTTTGGGAGAATATTCAAGACGGTATTTTAATAATAACAATAAAAATAATACCAGCAAATTTTTTTAAAATGGGTTTGCAGTGAACTTATATAGACATTTTGAGTGGTTTGTTAGAATTTCGCCAATTGGTTACTTAGTGGACCATTAGTAGCATTGATTATAAGAGGCCAACTTATAACATTCCAACATATGATATATGAGCAAAACTACAGTGGACCACTCAAAATATATAGATCCACTGAAATTCCGCTGTACAGTGTTTGCTACGATAATAACTATAGTAGTAAAAATAATAATATAAACAAAAACAATAATAATAACAATAATAATAGTAATAATAACAATGATAATATTTCTTAATAAATATTTTTCACTTAGGTGAAGAGCATAATTTTGAAAAATATGATCGTGGTGACATTTCGTCTCTTAACAACAATTATGACACCAACTCTATTATGCATTACGGAAGAACTTCTTTTTCCAAAAATGGATTACCAACTTTAGTAGCGATTGATGACAAAAACAAAAATTTAGGACAAAGGGATTCTCTTTCAAATGAAGATATTATTCAGTTAAATCAATTATACAACTGTCAAGGTATGCAGTGGGTATAGAGGGTAATGACTAAAAAACGTTTTGAAAAATTTTGTATCTCCAGTGGTCGCAAATGATAAACTTTTGTAACTTAATTATTTAAAAATTATTATTAAAGCTGATTCTAAAAAAAAATTCCTGTACCAAGACACCTAATGATGTGATGGGTGTCTTACTTCACCAAAATATTTTTCTCCTAAAGTATATCATGTTAGACATCAAAAGGAGTGAAGTTTTATAGAGTTTTATTTTAAACATTTTTCAGAGAAGTTATAATTTTACATAAACAACGATGTTTTTTAAATGTTAATGTTAAAGAAGGTATTGTTAAAAAAACGTCTTAAAAAGTGCTTTTTTTAAATTTTTGTCTAAAAATGTTTTCGTTTTTTTTTTACAATAAATTTGAAAAAACTGAATGTTACTTAAAAGTTTTATTTTTTTAAACTTTCTATAAAACTTTGATTTTTTGAGATCTAACTTGATATACTTTTGGAGAGAAATATTTTTGGTATTATATGCCAACTGGTTCTCGGGTGTTTTGGTATTATATGGCAACCAACTAGTTGTCGGGTGTTTTGGTGCGGAAACATTTTTTTAAATTGTCCATTGATTCCTACTACAGGCCAAAAAAAATTTATTTTTTATCATAACCCTAGCATATACTATATATACAATATAGGATTAATATATAATAAACAATAAAATGACTTTTGAACAATAAAAGAAATTTCGCTAACTATTAAACGTTAAATTTTCGTTTACAAACGAAAAAATTATAATTTGTTTAACCTCAAGGACTTACATACACTGCATTTTTTTTAGATACAAGTGATATATATTCACTTTGGTCTGAATGGTCGCCATGCAATCCTGAAACCTTTTGTAAAAAAAGACGACAGCGATTTTGTTCTCATAAGATGAAAAAGATGTGCCCTAAAGTAAACCAATTTGGTGTAGAAACAGATATTGCAGAATGTTCTAAAGAACACTGTTTTAGTATGAAGATTTTTTCTTTTTTTTTTTGTAAAACTATTTTGTTGTAGTATAAAGACCTCTGTTTTTTAATAATGGAACAGTAAACCAAAATTGTAAAAATTTTGGTTTACTGTTCTATTATTAAAAAACATAAAATATCGAAAAATAGAAAAAAAAAAAACGAAAAAAAACGAAAAAGAAAGTCTAAAACAAAAAGAGTATTTTAAAATCTGAAATAAAGAAGAGTTTAACAATATCAAAAATAAATCTGAATCTGGAAATCTGAATTAATTTTGATAATTTTTATTAGGGTTTTGTGGTTTATCTTCCTCCGGCTAATTGCCATATGGAAGCCACATACCCGGGTAAGGGAAAACAAGTTTAGCTCATTATAGAGCCTCATCAACCACTTCACTGACTAAAAGTAAGTGAGTTTAGGAAAAACGGAGAAACTTAGGGCAAAGTTCAGAAAAAGTCGAGTTAGAAAGATAGCATATTGGGTGGACACGGAAAAATCCGGTCAACTTTAAATTGAGATTTCTCTAAAACTATAAATGCTTTTTATTTCAATTTTTTTATTATTAAATGCGTTAACATAAATTAGAGTTTCGACGTAATTTTAAGGGGCTTGATGGGTTGTTTGGCAAGAAATCGAACTTTATAGCGAATTGATGCCATCCTTTTACAAACTTTTTCTTTTTTCACTATATTGGTGGCATTAATCCACTTTTTTTGTTAGTCCTTTTTATTATTTGTTACACCACCTGTCTTACGAAAAACTTCTTTAACTATTGCCCAAAAATATTCAATCTTGCGCTCTTCAGACAATTTGGAGGATTCGCATCTTTAGGAACAATTTTCACATTATTATCTTTGCACCACTGTAAAACTTTTTTAGAATAGTGAGAGGCAGCAAGATCGGGCCAAAAGAGACATTGGTGTTTGTGTTTTTATATAAAAGGCAAAAGACTTTTTTGGAGGCATTCTTTGATGTAGAGATTGGCAGTCAAGGTCTTTTTAGTAACAAAACAAGAGGACTGCGTACCATAGTTATAAATTCCTTGCCACACAAGGAACTTGGATGCAAATTTTTCTCGTCCAATATATTTAAATTGATCATCGACAGATTTATCTTTGCTTTCATAGTAAAACTGTTGACCAGGAAGTTGTGAAAAGTCCGCCTTGCAATAAGTTTCGTCCCCTTCAATTATGCACATATTTTTATCCGCCATGATTTTAACCAACTTCTTTGCGCGTCGAATTCTTTTAATTTCACAATTTAAGCTTCTCTTAGGTGTATTGTTTTATGAAATGCTTTAATTCCAGTATTTTCAAGTACTTTTTTGATATAAGAACGAGAAGTTTTGAATTTTCTTGCTAGATCTTGCTGTGACTGGTTTGGAGTTCTTGCAATTGAACGTAAAATCAACTTTACCTTTTTGGATTTATGGAAAGTTTTTTATCTTCCACTTCCAAGTTTTTTTTCGAAACTTTGAGTAGTATTGAACTTGTTTATAACATCTATGACTATATATTTTGGGGTATTTGTGTGTTTCGCAATCAAGCGATAGGAAGTCGATGGATTTTTGCAAAAAAAATTCACAACTTTTTTACGTACCCCAATTTGTTTCCAAAACATTTTGTTTTAAAAATTAATTTGTAAACAAAAATTTATCAACACCATTTAAGATAAGGAAGTAAGGTTTAATTAAAAAAAAAAAATTAAATAAAAAGCATTTGTGGTTTTGGAGAAATCTCAATTTAAAGTTGACCGGATTTTTCCGTGTCCACCCGATAGCATAATTGCACTAGATGTTAGAATGTGCAATTCATACTATTAATTAGATTAAGCAATTAATGTATTCGTATAAACGTACGTAATTGATAGATAATTGGTAGATTAAACACTCAGATAATTGCACTAGATTTAAAAATGTGCAATTCATACTAATAATTAAATTACGTAATTAATGTGTTCGTATCAACGTACTTAGTTGGTAGATATTTGGTATATTAAACACTCAAATAATTGTACCAAATGTTAGACTGTGCAATTCATACTATTAATTAGATTACTATTAATTAGATTACCAAATAAATGTATTCGTATGAAAGCGGTCATCAATGCTGATGACACATTTTTTTTTTATTTTGTTTTTTTATTTTTTTTTTTTATTTTGTTTGTTTATACGTTTGTTTACACTTGATATTTTTGGTATTGTAGTTTAACCCACGGCTGTTTCAGAGTGAGCTTTACGGCTTCTTGTTTTTTTTTTTGAAAAATTTGACTTAGGGGGTGTTACTAAAACGTTTATAACTTTTGAAATATTAGAATCAATTTTGTTTTGTAAATAGAATAAAAACAACAATAAAATGTTTTATCATACGACATTTAATGCAATACTAAAAAAACTTCTTTTAGTTTATAAAAAGCGCGACAAATGATCAACTTGGTTAAATTTTAGTAATTTGTTGTTACTTTTAATCAAAAAAAAAATCAGAAAAATATATTTCTGATAGTTATTATCAAATACACTCATTGTTTAACTATTATTAAAATTAAAATGGTACGGAAGGAGGCGTGAACATCCTGTTAAATGCTCTCCCGCGGTGCTCTATGATAAGACCGCAAGGACTTCTGGGAGGTATATGGCAGTTAAATGACCTCTATATGGCAGTTGCCATATAGAGGTCATTTTACCAGAAGTCCGCAAAGACTAGTTGAGCTCCCGAAGGAGCGTCATACCCGCTCATCTAAGAGTAAGGTGAGTTTGGGAAGAACGAAGATATGTTAGAGCGAAAAATAGAATTAGTCGAGTTAGAATGATAGCATAGAGTAAGCGGAGAGGATGGCACACGATGTTAGAGAGTGCAATACATACTGTTAGTTAAGTCACCTAACTAATGTACGCCGATAAAGTTGTGAGTGGAGTTCACTTAACATGAACTCTTCATCAACTTTCTTTGTCGTTACACTTTTTTAACTATTCAAAACACAGTTGATTAACTTGTGGTTTTATGAAACATCTTTTTATACTTTTAAAATTATAATTAGGCAGCTTTTCTTATTCACTGTATTTAAAAATCTGCTTGGAATTCACTCGTTCACAAATCAAATTTATAGTTTGCCCAGTTGTATTTAACATTGCTCATAACATTGCATTCAGTGCTTCGTTCTCAAATACTTTAACATTTATGTAAATTTCTTATCTAAAATTTTTTTAATATTTATGTTTGTTTTTAATAAGTATTTACAAATGTTTACAATGAAAAAAAAAATTTAGAACCACGTGACGGTCATTGGAATAAATGGGAGTCATGGAGCAATTGTAGTAACTCATGTGGAGATGGTTTTATAAAAAGAACACGAGTTTGCGACGATCCTGAGCCAAAGTACGGAGGGAAAAATTGTACGGGGTCAGAAAAAGAAATAAATAAATGCTTCTTAAAACCATGTGGACTTGGTAGCAATACTTTTATCGTTTTTGTTAATTTTTATATCTATTTTTTTTAATTTAATAATTAAAAAATATTTATTTAAAAAAATGGTTTAGTAAGTAAACGGTGTGTATAATAGGAGATGACGATTGTTTATTTGATGAACAAAATCTATGCTCGTGGACAGATAGGTCAACCGATGTTTATAAGTGGCAAAGAATAAAAGGCTCAACGCCAAGTGGAAACACTGGACCAGATGGAGACCACACTTCCGGAAAAGGTGTTGTTTTAGTTTAAAACAGTTAGAATTTAACAAATAGTGTGATTATAGGAGTTTAATCTAAAACTATTTAGTTTAAATATTGCTTCATTAATTGTCTCATGTGATTTTGTGAAATCACATGAGACAATAAAAAAAAATAGTTTTGCAATGATTTTCATTATAAATAGATGTCTATTCTGTCTATTTCTATTAACGGTTTACGTTCAGGGTACTACTTGTATACAGAAGCATCTCCTCCTGCAGACAAAGGGATGACGGCTTATTTGGTTAGTAAAATTTTTCCACCAGTATTTAGGCGGTGTATGAGGTTTTTTTATAGTATGCATGGAACTGGCGTTGGCGCACTGAGGGTATATTTACACGAAGTGGGAAGTTTAAGGAATATTTTGTTATGGGAAACAATTGGTCCCCAAGGTTTTGATTGGAAAGAAGGAAACATCATTTTAGGAAGCCAAGTTCCTTATGAAGTAAAAATAATATTTTATTAATATCATCTTTGAATTAGTTATGTTTTATCTTTTATAAATATTTTATTGATAAATAATAAATACAACGTCATTAAAATACCGTAATAAATGACAACGGTTCAAAGGAGACTTTTACGGAACCGGATATAATACAAGTGCACACTTATATGTTTAACAAAATATTTCTTACAAAAAAAAAAAAATTTTTTATTTGTATAAAATATTTATTTTAAATAAACTGTTCAATTTTTTAGATTATTTTTCAATCAGAGCGTGGAGAAAGTTATCTTGGAGATATTGGACTCGACGATGTTACTTTTCCGTGTGATCCAAAAGAAAAACACATTAAAACAAAATCTGCGCTTACAACAACCTCTTCCCCTACCATCTTTTCCACATTAGGTAAAAATACATTAGGTTCCATTTAAATTTAACTAAAGCTTTGCATTTAAAAATTTATATTTTTATATTTTGTATCAATAAATAAAAATGAAAATATTTATTACAGCGTTTTTATTCAGATACTCTATCAGCAAGTTGTCAAATACAAGTGAAGCCAATTGGATGTTTTGCTGAAGTCCCTGAAAAGCCGGCTTTAAAACTTGCAGTAATAATAAAAAATTTTGAGAACCATGTAACGATTCCTTCTTCAGAAAACGTCGAGGAATCAATAGACAGGTTTAAGATGTTTTAAAAAATAGTTTTAGAGGGAGTATGCAATAACTATAAAATATTGCAACAATATTTTATTTATCTTTAGTTTGCTGTGTGATTGCTTAATTATTGCTAAAGAAAAGAATATTCGTTTTATCGGTTTACAAAACATGGCGGAATGCTGGGGAACAAATGAAGATAATTATAGCAAATTTGGACCAAGTACGCTATGTTTAGACAAAGAACTTAAGCCATGTTATCATTCAAATACTAATAACGTATGCGTCGGTAAAGCGCGCACAAATTACATATATGAATTAATCTAAACACTGTTTAAATACATATGTTAAGTTTCTATTTTTATTAAAAGTATTTAATAGCTTTTTTTTGTTTATAAAAAATAACTTTAAATATTTCATAACTACAAAAAAAAAAAAAAAATTTATTGCTTATTAAATAGTTTGAAGTATCACTTAAACTTTTTTAATTTAAATTAATTGATGTAACAGTTGAATTCCTTTAATTAAAAAAATGATTTTTATCAAAAGTTACTATATTTACAATTTTACTAGAATAATATAGGATAAAGATTAATGTATATATATATATATATATATATATATATATATATATATATATATATATATATATATATATATATATAAAGGGGCGGATCTAGGATTCATATCTCCTTTGTCGAAATTTTTCGTATAAATGTTAACCTCCCCCTCCCAACCAGCCTTATAACCCTATTCCCTCATTCATATTTGTAAAAGATTCCTACTCCAGCTTGTTTATCATAACCCCCTTTTTGCTTACGTATGTTAGAAATCTTAACTAAATACAGGTTATGAACTTTCCTAAAATACTTTTGTATAAATTTAAATTGAATTAAAATTAATAATCTATATCTCATTTTCGAAATTCTCAATGCACACTAAGCAATCTTAAAAAAAAAGAAAAACAAAACAGTTTTGTTATTCAAAATTAATTTTAAAATGATTCTTATAATCTGTAGATTACTATTCTCTGAACACAAACAGTCAATCAGGAGGTTATGGCAATAAATTTAAGCAATTAGGAGGTTATGGCAATAAATTTAAGCAATCAGGAGGTTATGGCAATAAATTTAAGCAATTTCAATATATTGAGTAAAATTAATTCAGAAAAAATGCTGATGCTCCATTTCCCTCAGTAAAAAGGATCTGTCTTAAAGGTATTTGTTTAAAACACATAAACCACATAAATGTTCCTTCCTATTCACATGTACGATTTTTTATGCAGAACGATTGAAGGCATATGTCAGAGGAATACACCATCAATTAGAAAACTAGTTTTTCACATTTTTATTTCTGAATTAGCATAAAACTATACATAAAATATAATGTAAAATGTCAATGTAATTCCATAAGAAAAAATTGCCAATGTTATAAAACATTTAAAAATTTTTAAAAAAAGTATGCCTTTCAGTGGACATGGGAACTAAAAATCTTTTAAATGTGCAAAAGATATCTTTTAATTGTTCAAAAAAACATCTTTTATACATTCTGTGACCACTAGAATGATTTAAAAGGCCTTACTAGTACAGCAATATGGTAGGGTTAAACTTCAATAAACATAGATGGCAACTCTTTATGTGATGGTAAAAGTCCTCAGTACTGTTCTGTAAAATAAGTTGAAGATAAAAAATAATTCCACTTCTAAAGCTTCAAAACTTACACAATGCCACGACTAAAAAGGAATATCATGATAAATTATAAAAAAAGAAAATGTCTTAATTATTTGTTAGCATTGCTCAGGAGGCTCATTAAGAAAAAACCTATATTATAGGTTTCAGTTCACAACTTACAGGTGAATTTATACTGCGCCAGAGGTTCAAACAGAACATAAACAGACTTATCTTGACACGTGTTATTTTAGTATTTGTTATATATCAAAAAAATAAGATTGCTTGAAGAAAAAGCAGTTATTATTATCCTTACATTTAGTCTCTATGAATATACATCAACGCTTAACCGTTTAAACAATTATTAGACATGATCGATCTTAACCAATTTTCATTCTTCAAAGATTTGAAATAAATTTTTCAAATAAACAATAACTTTGGCAAAAATTTTGATACATGAAACTGAATTCAGAGTATCAGTGACGTTGTTTGGAATAGGGTAATGAGAGGTAGTCCAATATATTTCCCAAAGACCAAACTCTGCATCTAAAGCTAAGAGATTTGGAAAATCTTCAAAAAAAAAGAAAAAACAGAAAAACTTTAAAACTCTTCCTCCAATTATTTTTTTCAGATAGACCATTTAACAAAGAAATTACTTTACAGGGATTGCACTCATTCCATGGAACAAAGTTAAATTGTCATTGAAAAATCTATCAGAAAGTACTACATCTAAGATCAACTCCAGGAAAGGTTAAAACTCGTTTAAAGTATTATGATGTATTCTCTGCTGGACGGTTATCACGGTGGATTTGCCTCAAAACAGCTCTTATTCTACATTCTTCAACCCCCTGTTTGTTCAACCCCCTGTTTGTTCAGCAATAACTTTGGCATCAACCTAACATTTATCATGCAAAATCATCAATCTTGATTGCTTTAAATTCTTTTAGTCAAACAGTGAATATGATCTATACCGGTTTAAATATTTAAACTGCTAGATTGTAGATCTAACCTCAGCAATAACCTCGACAATTGATAATATCTAAAACTAGGGATGCAATGGTTTCTAAAATACTAATAGATAAACTTTATCTATCCAAACCATTATGATTGCGTATAAATTTTATAAAGTAAGGTTCACATATCTCCGGATTTGCCTGGAGATCCTCCGGATTTTTAATCAAAAAATAAGGCTCCAGGGGATTTTAGAAAAATACATGAAACCTCCTCTTTTTGAATGTTTTTTATTTATTTTTATAAAACTTTCATATTTAATACTTAAATTTTGAGTATTCAGGTGGTGTTCAACTAACATCCGATGTCATCTTGTAGGTCAAACAAATGCGAATTAGTTTAATTATTATTATCTATTATCAAGTAAAACCACAAACTTAAAAGAATGTGTCATTTTAGAGGCAAATAACACTCGTACAAAAATTTGTTAAAGATCCAAATGATTACGATTTTACTTCAAATTGTTGAAAATTTATGTTTAGCTGTCATTCCAGAATGTTCTTCATAAAACATAGACTTTTTATTTGCAATTTAACTCCTCGCATGGTTGATGTTTATAAATTAAACTTTAAAGTCAAAAGCTGTGTGTAGTAGTAGTGTGTAAGTAGCTGCTCATTACATCGAATTCTGCTGCAAAGAAAAGTATACGCATTTGATGAACGTTTGATATAAAGGTCTTCATTGGCTTAAAGATATGTAAGACGTAGTAGATACAAATCAAATCGAAAAGTTTATAACATGATGTAACATTTCAAGGACTTTTACGTAAAGTACAAGTATGTTGTATGAAGGGTTTTCATATTTACGGATTTGCCCATAGATCTCCGGATTTTATAGACCAAAAATAGTCTTCGGAAATTTCAGAAAAAAACATAAAATCTCTTCTTTTTGGAGGTTTTTATTTAATATATATTTTTTTTATATATTTATTTATCTAATATTATATAAATTAATTTTTATTAATATTAGGCCGCTTTGAATTGCAAAGTTGTTTCCCGTCCTAAAAAAACCCGGTAAAGTATGCGGGCGGGCGGCAAATTTCCATTGTCTATTATTTCATTATTTATTTTTTTTACATTTTTTTTTTCTTTTTTTATGACCAGTGCACAATGGGCCGGATTGAAGACATATAGTGGACAAAATTATTTTGCTGTTTTTTTTTCATTACTAAAACCCTTTAAATATCCAAAAAAACACTTTGTATTAAGATATCTTAAATATTTGACAATACTAAAAATTATTATAGGAAAATTATTTATTTAAGTATTAAAAATATTTAACAAAAATTAAATATTTAATTTTCGTTAAATATTTGCTAATACTAAAAATTATCAATCAAACTTTAAAAACGCGGATTTATTATGATGTAGATACATAAACAATATAAGTGTACATTAACAAATGCATCATGTAAGAAAAATAAATCTTTAGCGTTTTCAGATAATTATGTACGATCACTTGCAACAGTAGTACTATAGCTATAAAAATAATACCTTAAGTATAATAAACCTGGTATAATAAGACCTGATGAGCCTATATAGATGTTTGATCAAGATTGTATACGTTTTTCAAAAATTTGAAAAACTTTGTACAAAATAAGTTTGTTTTTATTTTATGATAACGTGCACCATGAAGGCGTGACGGTGCTCGTCACTCGGACTAATTCTCCAAAATAATACAGCGTATTTTTTTTTTTTTTTTTGTTCTTTTATTTTTTTCAGAGCTGTTAGTCCTTGGCCTAACCTTAAGTTTAAAAATTAGGCCTTTACATCACATCTTCTTGAATTATGAATTTTCTTGAATATTTTATAAATATTGTCATTTTATAATTTCTTCAATTATAACTACAATTGACCTCTAGCATGAAATTTTAATAAAATTATGTGGTGCAAATTTTAAACAATGTTTTATTACAAAATAAAACATCTCTAAGATCTTGTAAAAAAAAAAACAGAATACATTTGAAACGTCTTTCTTGCTCTTCTTAACATAAAAATAACAAAGAAATAAAAGTACTATTATAATTTTTTCTATAAATTATGATTATAGTCTATATAACTAATACTGTAATATAATAATGTTCACAGAAAACACGTTCGCCATACATTACTTTTTCTTTGTAGTTCTGCGAGGAATATTTGGCTGAGAACAGCATTCGTCACATTGAGGAAAATAGTAAGCTCGATCGAATTTATTCAAAATTGTCACAATTTCGTATTTTCGAATTTGTGTCATAAAATTCAAAGTGGTCAAATTCGAATTTTAGTCAAATTCGAAATTCAAATGTAAATTCGAGTTACTCAAATTTTGTTAAATTCAAATTAGGTATTTTTAAATTTTTTCAAATTAGTATAAGAAATACTCGAAAAAATATTTTTATTTAGTTCAACTACCCAGTATATGGTGAGGGTGAATTTTATGACTCATTAAGAGTCGGGGTGGGGTCTGACTAAAGACTTACTAAATAAGTGCAAATTTTGTACCTGCGAAATTACATAATGGCAAATGTTGTAACTGCAAACTGGCAAATCTACATAAGTGATAACACTTGCAATCACTGGCATAAGTGCGCCAAAGGAATTTGCAAACACTGGCTTAGATATGAATCAATTGCAAAAACTGACATAAGTGTGAACTTGCATATGCGCAAAGCAATTTTAAAAACAGGTATAAGTGCGCCGAATTTGAAGATTTACTCATAAAA